AACAAACAATATCAAGGTTAGAGGATCCACTAGTGGTATGTCAAACAAGTATAGTATAAACTCTTATTATTCAATTGAAAACCACACACAAAGGAGGTTCCAATCAGATTATAGATTGTAAATATGATTACATTAGTCATCTTATTCAATTAATGCTAATACTTATAAATTTCATCAAGCATTCATGATTATAACTTATGTTAACAATAAATCAAGTTCCTTTCATAGCTTAGGTGTCGGTTATACCATACAGTATGGGCTATGAAAGTGCCAAGCATTTGTTGTACCAAGTGTTACATAACATAAATCAAGATTAGTCATTTAACAAGCAAAGTATTAAAGAGTGAACAAGATAACAAATATAAAACATGTTAGTATCAAACATTAAAGTCCATATTAAGTTTATACTATACTTATTCTTACACCATTAGTGTAACCTTTTCACCTTGACATAATAAACTTAGCTAGACATAATGAAAGAAAGAAAAATAGATAAACAAAATAAGAACATAAATAAGATAAAAGTTAACTAAGTAAAGGAAAGGAAATGAAAGGCATAAACTTGATATTAAGGAAAACAACGCATAAACATTACAAAAAATACAATGAGAGAAAGCAAGAGCATGATCTTGATCTGGACACCAAGATGCCTAAATACATGGCACATGCCTCCTTTTATAGGCCAAAATTGGGAACTATTGATTTGATGACTAATTGATGAGTGGGTGGCCTACTATTGACTTGGTAACAATCCTTATCTTCTTTTATCTGCCCAAAACGTCATTGATAACGTCAAAATTGGAACCACTTGAAAACATGAAAGTTGTATAAAATTCAGATCATTTTGACTTCTAGAACTCCAGATATGGCCAAAATACTGAATAGTACTCGGGTTGGAAGACAGATTTGGACTTCTTTATTGTTGCTCCAATTTGAACTTGAAAATGGCCTTTTTAGATCTTAGGCTCTATATGAAAATTGTAGGCCTATGTCTTACCTTTCCATCCATATAAAGTAGACCTAAATCTGAGATTTACAGCTCTAGATATAATGCAATTACTGAATAGTGTTCCAGTTTGGACTGCACCGATATCTCTTTTCTAAGTTTGGCCATCTCTTTGTCCTTTCAATTTCGGTTCTCAAATTCATCAATCAATCCTTTCATTTATGTGATAGGCCTACATTTAAAATGAACATTTACCATAAATTAAAGGTATCTTATATTATTAGATATATTATTATAAAACATGCTTTAGTTAAGGAGTTATTGATACTTCAAGTGCAAAATAATGATATAAAACCTTGATAAAAATGCATTTTTAAGTATCAATCAACCTTCCTTACCTGGGTCATGCTTCGGGAAGATTCAAACTAGCCTTTTTAGAAAGAAAAATTCTATACAAGCTTACCTATTCTCTTAGGAGAAAAAGTCAGAAACAAAATCAAAGATATCTTTACAACCAGAACCATACCATATGACTAGCTTATATATGGTGAACTTGTGAGCTTCACCCAAAAACAAGGTCTTAAGATCTGTTAGTATCTCAAACTCCAAAAACATTTAAAGTGGGAAATGAAACGTACTAGGTAAAAACTTGGTAGTTTCTGTCACCAATTTGACCTTTCCTGTAGTGAAAACTGTTCAAAACTGAAAAACTATTTAAGCCAAAAACCTCCTTATAGACAACCAACCCATAAATACTAAAAATAGTTTTACTCAAAACCAGAACACACCTACTACAAAAGGCCCTACAAAAAATTTACCAAACTTCATAAGTCTTTTTAGTTAAAACAAAAACCGAAATTTGACCTAAAAAACATTACCTATTACAAATGTAACTAGAAAGGACATACAGTTCATTTCTGCAAAGTCAATACCAAACTTCATGAGCTCCAAATAGATAAAAAAAAAAATCCATTAACCAAATACAAAACCTATATATTGAAGCCACAGACTTGACCCCTGTCTTTTAAACACTTCTGAAGAAGAATTTCAAATTGATAAAATAAGAACTACCGGTGCTACTTCAGATGCCTCTACAAATTTCAAACAAATTAATGTCTTAACTCAAGACCCGAAATTCATTCTTGAGGCCATCAAAAGACTTAATGATCATTGACTCCAAAAAACCTATCTAGATAGACTGTTGAAAGATTTCAACCAACCAGCTCACCCTCCTTCTAACCCTTCAAACCGCTCTATATCACCCTCTACTAGTAACAATGCCTATGACCTTACAAAAATCCTTAACAAGAAGAAATCCAAAACCACATTCACAATCCTATAATTACATTCTAAGATTAAAACCCTCAAATTTGAATTACAAACCCTAAAACAAGCCTAACAAAAAGATTCTGCCATCTTATAACACCTTCTATCTAAAATTGAGAGTCAGTCCGACACTAAGTCTAAACCAGAAGATCAAACCATTGAATCTCATTCATTCCCCCCATGCACTTACAAACATTAAGCGTATTCTAGATGATTTCTTGGATGTGTTAATCCAAATATCTTTAAAAAAATATTTGATTAAAATTACGCTAATTTTTTCAGAAGATTTCCAACTTGATACTATTGCTTTATTTGACACAGGTGCAAATTTAAACTGCATCAAGGTAGACATGGTTCCAAAATGATTTTTACAAAATACCTCTGAAAAAATCTTGGCTGCTAACAACTGCAAATAATGTAATCGGGAAAGAAAATGATATCAACCCGTATAAATTTTTCAAACCCATAGTCGTAACCACTAACTAAACTAGAAGCATCACATCTGAAAAACAAATATTTTAAAACTTGGCTTGACGCGACAGTTTGACCCAAGACCAGGCTGAGCTTCAAAAGAAATTAGGGGAGAATTAACCAAGTATAAGCCTATCAAAAACCTAGGTTGACCCATGATTCAATTAGCCCGAGAAAAATCTAGTTAAAAACCATTGACTATTTTCATTTTTGTTTTCAAAATAGTATCATTTTGATTAAATTTTTTTTTATAAAACAAAAGGGTTTGGTTAGCTTAGGTTAACTCGAGCCAACTAGTTCGACTTGTCACCCGATCATTGTCCTAGATTGACTCCTGGTAGGGCTTTATAAACAATAGGAAAAAACCTAGAAGACCAAATCCCAGTTATTTAAAATGTCGAATGGTGAAATAAAAAAAATAAAGGATAAAGAAATAGCAACTAAGAAAATAAAAACCTCATTTGCAAAGATAAAAATTAAAAAGACAAACAAAAATCTTGAATTGAAGGCCAAAATTGAAAAACAAATCAAATTAACAAATGAATCCAAAAAAAAAACAAAGAATATCAATTTCCAACAAACAAAATGATGATGAATGAAATTTTTTAAAAATAATAAAAAATAACTGAAGCTAACCTGATCTAACCTTTAGAATTTTATAATATGGATCATGAGATCGAATCACAACATAAAAATCAAACCTGAAAAAAATAACAATGTAAAACTCATAACCAACCAAACTAATTAGAGATGAACTTGAAAAAATAATTATAAAAAGAAAAGATGTAAAAAATATAGATTTAAAAATAAAAATTTAAAAAATATAGATTTAAAAGGAAAGAGAACTAAATTTGATACAAAAATAAAATAAAACTAAATTATAAGAAATGAAATTGAAAAACAATTTCAATGTAGAAAAGAATAACAACTCAAAATAACAATAAAAAATAAGGATGATATTTGATAAAAAAAAATGTCAATGTATAAAATTCAAAGACAAATCAATTTAATAAAGTATTTAATACCAAATACATTATAATTAAAAGAATGTGGACCAAATCTAATAGAAAAACCAAGTGCAAATAGATAAAATTAAAAACAAAAAAAACTTGATAAATGATTCAAGACTAGATACACTACAATTAAAAGAATAAAGATAAAATTTAATATAAAAATCAATTGTAAAGAGATTAAATTAAAAAAAAATTCAACTTAACAAACAAATAAAACCCAAATACATTAAAATAAAAAAATGAGAATTAAAGTTAACTTAATAAACAAATATCCAAACTTTTTTTTTTTTTGCAATAAGCAACACGATTTTCTAAGAGGAGAGAGGGAGGGAGGGAAAAACCCTCGGCCAAAGCTCCTCTGTGAACCGCCTCAGCACACGTGTCTCATCAATATACTTGGGGTGGTGAGACGCATTGAACGCCATCCTAGAAGGCAACGTTTAATTATGTTTTTGGGCCGCACACGCCCCCCAAAAAGCAAGAGTGACACCTATTTATTAGCACATGATTAGCAGACATCAACCTTTTTCTGAATATAAAAAACAATTTATATACATACAAATACCTAATTACCCTTGACTCCACCTAATATTTATAATAAAACTATATGGAAACGACAAAAACAGCTCTACATACAGCTTTGTTTTTTTGTAAATCTAAAGGTAATTTTATATTTGCACTGCTTCAATAAAAGAAGAGGACGAAAAAGCCCTTCAACACACAGTATATTTTCCTTTCAGGAGTATGATTGCATCTTCATTATTTAGTTATTTTTAAAAAGATGAAAGAAACCTCTAACTTAAAGGTTAAAATTTTGTGCCTCAAAAGATAAATTAATATTTATATTATAGTCCAAAATCACTTTTTCATTGTTAAATGTATCTCCTGAAAAAGATAATGTTACCTCTAACTACATGTTTAAAAAGTTGTTTTAATAAGAATAATTTCATTGTTATACTATGATGAAAGTAAAAGAATGAAATGATTTAGATTTTTTTTAATGTATAAAAAAGAAATAGTATTGCAGTTGGTACACCCAACAATTTCAAATTAATCAATTGATTTTATTAGAGTTTATTTGAGTATGGTTGAGATTTTTTATTAAGTGTTTTTTACTTAAAAATATATTATAATATTTTTTAAAAAAATTATTTTTGATATTAGTATTTTAAAATAGTCTAAAAATATTAAATAAAATATTAATTTTTTAAAAACATAAAAAGAAACGAGTTGATATTTCATTCGGTCACCGCTCACTCGTATACTTGTATAAACCTCCCGGGCTTGGTGCTAGGGTTTGTTTTTCTTTTGCTATATAGATAATCTTTTGGCGGGAATGAATTAAGTTACCACCCTTCCCCTCAGAAAAGAAAGAAAGAAATCCCTAAATCAAAACGAAAGAAACCCTAGAAAGAGGAGTGAATCAAATCCGAATCGAAGGGGGTGATGGGAAAAGACGAAGAGGAAATGAGGGGAGAGATAGAGGAACGATTGATAAACGAAGAGTACAAGATATGGAAAAAGAACACTCCTTTCCTCTACGATCTTGTTATCACTCATGCCCTCGAATGGCCTTCTCTCACCGTCGAATGGCTTCCAGACCGTGATGAGCCCCCTGGCAAGGACTACTCCGTCCAAAAGATGATTCTTGGTACCCACACCTCCGAAAACGAGCCTAACTATCTTATGCTCGCCCAGGTCCAGCTTCCTCTCGATGATGCCGAGAACGACGCCCGCCACTACGACGACGACCGCTCCGATTTTGGTGGCTTTGGCGCCGCCAATGGCAAGGTTCTCTCCTGTTGGTTTTCACTTTTATTTTTTTATTTTTTTCTTATTTCTTTCTCAGAATTAATTAATTAATTTAGTTACTGGTTGGTGTGTTTAATTTTTAATTTTGAAGGTGCAAATAATCCAGCAAATAAATCATGATGGGGAGGTGAATAGGGCACGGTATATGCCACAAAACCCATTTATGATAGCTACCAAGACTGTTAGTGCTGAAGTTTATGTCTTTGACTATAGCAAGCACCCATCTAAGCCTCCTCTTGATGGTGCATGCACCCCTGATTTGAGATTGAGGGGTCACAACACTGAAGGCTATGGTTTGTCTTGGAGTAAGTTTAAAGAAGGTTATTTGCTTAGTGGTTCTGATGATGCCCAGATTTGCCTGTGGGACATTAATGCCACTCCCAAGAACAAGTCCCTTGATGCTACGCAAATCTTTAAGGTTGGTCTACATGCCCGTTTGCTCACTGTGTAATGTTTCCATTTGTGCAATTCAAAAATTATTGACAAATAAAGCTTAAGTTCTATATATATATATATATATATATATATATGTGATGATGATTAAAAAGCTTACTGCGGTCTAACAGGTTCATGAAGGTGTTGTAGAAGATGTAGCATGGCACTTGAGACATGAACACTTGTTTGGTTCTGTTGGGGAGGATCAATACCTGCTTATATGGGATCTCCGAACTCCATCTGTGACCAAGCCTGTCCATTCTGTTGTTGCTCACCAAAGTGAGGTATTCGATAACTGCTTTGTGATTCCTCAGAGAACTAATACACTCAATGTTCAGTGGCTGAGACTTGGCCTTTTTCCTTATCCATCTACCATCTGAAGCCTGTTGACTTCACATGTTCCATGTGAAGTGATGTGTCTAATCATGCTATTTATTGCTAAAAAAAACTTGAGACTTATGTCTTACAATCATCAGAAGGTTTTATATGGCATGTTGTAGGTGACCTCATGTTTCTCACAAAGATTTTTCCTACGCACTCATGTTTTTGTTGCTTAGAAAGCTGACGAGTACTTGTTTTTTACTATAAAAACCATGCTTTGCTCCAGTGTTGACATGGCACGAAGTTTATATTTCTTTTTTAGTTTAATTGATAAGTTTCACTTCGTGATGTTGTCTTAGGTTAACTGCTTGGCTTTTAATCCTTTTAATGAATGGATTGTTGCCACGGGATCTACTGATAAGACTGTCAAGTTATTTGACATACGGAAGATCAATACTGCACTTCACACCTTTAACTGTCACAAGTAAGCATCCTCCCCAGCTGGGGCATTCTTCAATTCTCTTCTGGGCATTTATCAGTGTGTAGCGGGTGTAATGTGTACAAGTACCCTCACATGCAGCATGGATGCATTTACATCTTGTTCACCTAAACACTTGCTATTTAATATCTTCTGTACTTTATTTTTTCTGTGATTGACTACAGGGAGGAGGTTTTCCAAGTCGGATGGAATCCCAAGAATGAGACTATCTTAGCTTCTTGTTGCCTTGGAAGAAGGCTCATGATCTGGGATCTTAGCAGGTTTGTCCATGAAGAAACCCAGTGACCTGTTAATTGATATTTCATAAGATTACTGATTGCCAGATTTGAGGATTGCTTTGAGCATTTTTTGATAAGACAAGACTAAGTGAGGATTGTTTTGAGCTACATGAGCTTTATTGACGTACGTGAGGCTTCCTTTGCAGGATTGATATTGAGCAGACACCTGAGGATGCTGAAGATGGCCCACCAGAATTGCTTTTCATTCATGGTGGCCACACGAGTAAAATATCAGATTTTTCGTGGAACCCATGTGATGATTGGGTTATTGCTAGTGTAGCTGAAGATAACATTCTTCAAATATGGCAGATGGCAGAGAATATCTACCATGATGAAGATGATATACCAGCAGATGAATCTACTAAAGATTCATAGTTTATTTCCAGGCTTTCAGAGTATATTATCAATCTCATAAGGTGTACTTGTAGGATCTTTTGGTAATTTAGACTTTCTCTTTATATGGTTGGCCTCCAATAGATCGTCTGTGTATGCTTTCTTTTGAATATGCCGAACTGATGTGTAATGACCCATTTATAGCATTATTATCTTAGAAAATTTTTGTTCTGTTTGTGGAGTTTGGAAGATGTTTCGCTGCAGTTTTGCGCCAGGATCTGGTTTTAAAAATGAAGCTACTGCTGGAGAAAATCATTTAACCTTGGGAATTCTAGTCAGGCAGCTGTTCTTTCTAGTCTCGTCATGTGAATTATGTAAAAGACTCCATTTTCCATCAGCTTAAGTTCTTAATACTGGAAACTAGGTTTGAACCTTCTTCTCAGGTTCTGGAAAAAAGCTTTTTGAGTTCTGCTTTGGCACAATGACACCAACAAGAACATCTTTCTTCAGCTTAAATCTAATAGGAGTGCACAAAATGAACACGGTGCATATTTGGAAGCTGCTTTGACCAAAATTTTGTGCTGACTCTTCATGTGTAATGGTTTGAATCTAATTGCCCTCTGTTGAGAGGCCGATCACCGGTGCTCTGGGGGTGCTCTGGGGAGTCTGATGCTGCTATGGGTGGTTTTCGAGATCAGAACCCGAAGTGGAAGCCCATTAACAAAAGCTCATTGTGAAATACTATACACATTTGTTTACACTGTTTATTAGAACAGTACAATGCTCTCGCTTAACCCAAAAAAATCAAATATGTTGATATTGACATTATTTATATCTTTTAAGTTTTAACATGAAAAAAATCAAATATGTTGATGTTGATATTATTTATATCTTTTAAGTTTTAACATGATTTATTAGTTATTAAATGATTGAATTGAGATTAAAAAAAAAAATGATAAAACGACTAAATACATTTGAAAAAAAATAAAAATAAAACTGTCCTTAGTGAGTTTTTTCATCATTGTGGTGTTTTTTTTTTTAATTATTAGGTAAGTAAGAGAATTTAATATTTGACTAAATATAAAAAATATAAAAAATACACTGTAAAACGACTAAAAAATCATTAGAATCTAAAAAAATAAAAATGATTTTAAGGGGCTTTATATATATATTTTCACAACAGTTATTTTCACTTTTATCAGGTTAGTTGAAAACAATTTGGTTTTTGGCCAAATATATACATGTTAATATATGAGATACCCCTGCATATTTCGATAAGCATATGATGCATTTTCTTACAGCAAAAATCCACTTTTTATTATATTGTTAGAAGCATTATTATGTTATTTTTTTTTGGGATGGCACATGTTGGTGGTGGATGAATAAATAAATTTTTTATTTTTTTATTGGTATTTTTATTTAAGTCTTTATTATTTTGATTTTTAATTTTTTTATTGATCTTTTTATAAAAAAAATTATTTATTTTTAATTTCATTTTTTAATTTTAATTTGTTTTTATAATTTTACATTATTTTTTACAATTTTATCTTTATTTTTTTATTTCTATTTTTTTTATAATTTTATCTTTATTTTTTTATTTCTATTTTTTTCTTGGTCTTTTCATAAAAAGTTTTATTTGTTTTTAATTTAATCATTAAATCTGAATTTATGGTATATTATTAATATTAATTTAATCCTCATTCTTTTGATTTTTTTTGTGAAAGTTATTTTTCTTTTTTGTTTCAGCATGCAATTAAATATTAAATATAAAGTTTATTGTATATTTCAATTTTAATCCTTATTTTTTTGCAAAACTGATTTGGAAGATCTATAAAAAATATATATGATATTTGCTACAAGTATTATGAATGGAGGCAGCCCATCAATATGGATTGATATGGAATCTTATTCAAATCCAATATAACAGCTAAAGGTACATAAAAAATATATTCAATCAATTCTTTCTAATGAAAGGATCCTAACTTTGAATATAAAATTTAAAATAATCAAATAAAAAACAATTTTCATCGAATTTAAAACAGAGTTGCTCCCGTACGTTGCCCAGAATTCACAATCATAGCGCCAAATATATCATGCGACTCATTCGGTGCAGCTGCTAGTCATTAAACCAAAAATCAAGAACAAGAAAAAAAGAAACAAAAAAAGAACCTATCATATCCGCCCCCACCTCCACCCACTGAAAGGATGAGAAAAAAGCAAAATGCAAAAATCCCACATTATTATTGAATTAATTCAAAAGAATGCTGAAGCAGACGCAGCATAAAACCTTTCCGGTTGCCTTCCTGCTTATTATTGAATTAACACAAAATCCATAAAACCCATAACCTAGGAGCTTGCGTATGAAGGTGCAGGAAGAAAAGGAAATGGTGCGGCTGAAGCATATGCTACAGGTGCACGTGCTTGCTTGCCAATTGCAGAATGTGTTTCCTGGTTCCCATGCTTGAGGTTTTCCCTGCCTTGCACTACGGGTTCCAACTCAGTGATCCTACCTAAACTGTCTTCGGAAAGGCATTGTTGATTATCGGAGACACGGTGAAAAAGTAGCCCGGACATGAATACAGGAAGGTACAAAAGGCTGGCATGAAACATCCTCCTTGCATTCTGAGTTGTTCGATTCAGATAGAATGAAAATGCTAGGGCACTTATTGCTAGAGAAAGAAGAGATGATTCAAGACAAAACCAACTGGAAGTCACACCCCCTGCGAACATGTTCAATTATTAGTTCAAATCCCCAGACAGCATCCAAATATGCTCCACATAAATATGTTAATTCACACCACAGTGGTAGAATAGAAAGCCAGTCCTTGGCAACCAAACTCACTGAATAAAATTTATTCAACAATGCAGTAATGCAGCACAAGTCAAGGAAGAAAACTTTAGGCAAAACTCATTAAGCATCAAAAGTTAACTTTAAAATCACATCAACGCAGTTGATTCTATTACCGATAGAACCTTAAAATTCATCTGTATACATGGTTAATAAGGTCAACAACTGTGCATATCTGAAATCATGAAATAAGTCATGCAACATCAACCACATGTAAAGTTCTCCGAGGACACCTCTGTCACCACAAACAGTCATTTGGCACTTGCATGTGATTGGGCATATAGAACAACCAATTCAATACTATGTATTATGTGAACATTATAACAATACCCACTCTTGCTGTTCAAAGTAAACCTCAACGTAAACCATGAAACCTGAAGATATCACATATCTAACTATCCCATGAAGTTCACCAACATGCATTTTGATACATGATAACCATAGAAAGTCATAAATTGGGTTATAGGATGAACCAGACAGTCAGCGAACCAAATAACTCTCAATATGTTAGTGATATCACAAAAGATGGAAAAACTCGAAGTTAAAAGGTTAAAAAATGAAAAGAAAATCATTGATGACTGATGTGAAAGATTGCATTACACTTGCAAACATTAGGGAATCTTTTAATGGAGTAACATAAGAAGACACAACTGAAAAGGGAAGACAAATCTTTTCACTTATGTTGACTAGAACTTACAATCACAGGCTAAAAAACCCAATGGAACCAGATACAGGCAGTTCCTCAGTGCTACTGCAGCAGTTCTCCGACCAGAAGCATCAGCAAGAGAGAACATCTTGAACCTGAAAACGCCACAAGTGGAAAACAAATTGAGGAACTAAGGGAAAAGACAAGTAAATGTCATCTGAAAACGCCACAAGTGGAAAACAAATTGAGGAAATAAGGGAAAAGACAAGTAAATGTCATCGAAGAGTCTGGGACCACCAGTCACAAGCCCAAAGGTCCCATCTTCCCCTAAATAATTCATCGACAACTCCTGCGTTAACAATTTCTACATCCCCAACAGCTAGTTCTTTCTAAAACTTGGTATGTGCAGTGACAAGTTGCAAGTTACAAGATCAAAATGACAAAAGCGCAGGAAAGTTGAAAATTATGGATCCGGGAGCAGTTTCATCTGCAGTTTTATACTAAAATTGGCAATAGATTGCTTTCATAGACAAGTACTTTAAGATCATAGAGCATACCCTCCAGCAGCATAATCACTGCGACAAAGATATGCAAGGGCCATAAAATGGGGTATTTGCCAAAAATACAGAGCAGCAGGGAGAATCATGGAGTTCAGTGAAACCTCGCCAGAAGCTGCAGCCCACCTGAAAAATTAGAAAAGAAATCAATATTATCAATGAAGATAAAAATACTGAGAGGCATTTTCCATTTATAAATAACAATCTCTCTCTCTATCTTCCTAGGGGTGATAGGAGAGAAGCTCCGCTACTAATTGGCAACTCTTTCCACAACTGTCCAATCTCTTCCCTTTCATCTTAGAATGTGTTCCAATTAGCTGCTTGCCTCGGGCATATTCACAGAAAAAACTTGTTTATTATTTCTTCAATTATGGGCAACATCAATTTGTGTTTCATTTCAAGCGACTTATCCATTTTGGATTGTTATGGGATCATTACCAAGGCAACTAGACTCAAAGCATAGTCTATTAGAGGCTGCATATGTTCTAAATCATAACCAAGATTCTCTGCCAAAAGCAGTGCTTATAAGTGCCTACGACTAGACTCCATCTTTAGAACTTACCAGATCCCTGAGGCTTAAGGCTGAGCCTGAAGCAGTCAAGAAATGACCAAGTTATCCTTATGGATGCAGCCCAGGCTATGGGAGCAATCCTGATGGATTAGGTGAAGCCCAGTCTTAGGCTTCAACAATAGATATGGAAATTTACTCAGACAACAGAATTTATATGGAAATTGAGGATGCCATAGACTTTTGGAGACATCAATATAGCTGCTTATAAAAGTTTCTGAGAGAACCATGTGCTTTGAAAAAGAAAATTAAAAACAAGAGGACAAAATTACCCTAGAAGTGGTGGAATAGCACCAACAACAGCCCCAACCCAGGTGTTGACTGGGTGAATCTGCTTCAGCGGTGTATAGACAAATGCATAGAGGATAAGATTGGAAACTCCAAGCCCAGCTGCCAACATATTAGCCTGCAACAACCTTGTCATAGAAGCTGCAACATTAGTTACTATTCTCAAAGAAAATTACATAAGGGTAGGTAAGTGTATCTATGTGGCCACCTTGCAAGCTAGTATAGCAGTGCCAGCTACCCCAACAGAAGATGCCCAGGTGAGGGCATGAGGTATTGTCATGCGCCTTGAAGGTAATGGTCTTAGCCTTGTTCTTTTCATTTTGGCATCGTTATTCTTCTCA